TCTCTGGTTGGCGGTCAGTATCAGTGGAGTGTCCCGAGGATCGATTCTAGGGCTAGTTTTGTTTATCATCTTTATTAATGACCTGGACGCAGTGATGGATTACACCATTAAAGCTAGGGGAAGAGGCAGATGTGCTGGAAGGTAAGGATATTGCTGTGTATATGCAGGAGTATTGCCAGCAGATCTAAGGAAATGATTATTCCTCTTTATTTATGGTGAGGCCACATCTGGAGTACTGCATCCAAGTCTGGGACCCCCCCATTACCAAAGGATGTGGAAACATTTGAAAAAGTCTAGTGAAGGACAACAAAAATTATTAGGGGGTTGGAGCACATGACTTATGAGGAGAGACTGAGGGATTTGGGCTTATTTAGTCTGCAGAAGAGAAGCGTGAGGGGGGATTTGATAGCAGTCTTCAACTACTTGAAGGGGAGATCCAAAGAGGATGGAGAGAGGCTGTTCTCAGTGATGACAGGAGGACCACCAATGGTCTCAGGTTGCTGTGGGGGAGGTCTAGGTTGGATAGCAGGAAAAATTATTTCACTTAGAGGGTGTGTCTAGACTACATGCCTCCGTCGACGGAGGCATGTAGATTAGCCAGATCGGCAGAGGAAAATGAAGCCGCGATTAAAATAAGCGCGGCTTCATTTAAATTTAAATGGCTGCCCCGCTCTGCCGACCAGCAGCTGATCGGCAGAGCGGGGCAGCCATTTAAATTTAAATGAAGCCGCGCTTATTTTAATCGCGGCTTCATTTCCCTCTGCCGATCTGGCTAATCTACATGCCTCCGTCGACGGAGGCATGTAGATTAGCCAGATCGGCAGAGGAAAATGAAGCCGCGATTAAAATAAGCGCGGCTTCATTTAAATTTAAATGGCTGCCCCGCTCTGCCGACCAGCAGCTGATCGGCAGAGCGGGGCAGCCATTTAAATTTAAATGAAGCCGCGCTTATTTTAATCGCGGCTTCATTTCCCTCTGCCGATCTGGCTAATCTACATGCCTCCGTCGATGGAGGCATGTAGTTTAGACGTACCCGGAGAGTAGTGAAGCACTGGAATGGGTTACCTAGGAAGGTGGTGGAATCTCAATCCCTAGACTTTTAAGTCCTGACTTGACAAAACCTGGCTGGCATGAGTTGGTATTGGTCCTGCTTTTTAGCAGGGGGTTGGACTCAATGACCTCCTGAGGTCTCTTCCAACCCTATGGTTCTATGAATTTTCTGATTGACTTGTAAGGTCTAGCATTTTGTTAAATGGATGGGTCAAATTTCATGCAGATAGCATTTATTTTTATTATTATTATTTTTTAAAAATTGTATCACCCAGAATGGAATTTAAATTCAAGGTTGATATCCCTATGCCAGAGATTTATTTGTTAGAGGGAAGGAATCAGAAAAATTCTCCCCACTGTAAAGTAATTTGTTCCTTGTTGTAAGAATTTCCCTTCTCCTATATGCTTTCCTGTGGTTTATTAGCTAAATATGTTATGAAATGTCATTTACCTTATTCATCTGCAGATACACAGATGTTTTCCCCATTTGTGTGGTTTCCCCCAACCTCAACCCTTAGAGCATTCATAAACAAATTCCTAACCTACCCTGAAAAATGTGCCACTGAATCTTTACACAACCACAAGAGGTAATAGGAGTTCCACAGACACTCTTACACCCTAGGGATGGGGACAGACAGATAAATCAGACATAGCAAGGATACTGCACTCCCACCAGCACAGCAATACTGGGACAACAAATTGTGGTACTTGTATTATACAGACCCTGAGGAAACCATATCACCCGCTGAATCACAAACACCATGTCCCTGCAAGAATCCCTGGAGGCTTCCCATTCAAGTTCTGAACAGACACAACATTGCTTGGGGTTTACAAGATCACAACTTGAGATAAGTCCATCAGTCAGTACACTGGAAAGTAAACATACAAATGTAACCAAAAAACACAGCACTTCATACAGCAAGTTCGCCCTCTGATATTACAATTTAAAAGGGCACAGAGAGCTAATAAGAGAAAACAGTGCACAGTAATTGTACTAGAACAACAACAAAAGGGTTAGGTTTCAGCTGAAGCAAGCAGCTCCATTAGTGTTATTACACTAATAAACCTCATGTCTATTTAGGTTTCCAACAGTCTAATAAAGGGTAATTCATACTGTCAGTAGCACAGCATGCTGGCCTGCAGTAAAGAGCAAATTTTAGAGCAGACTAACATAAGTAGCCAAGCAACAAAATCATTTCACTCTCTCACCAAATGCATTTTCCTCGTTGGAAAATATGTTATTTCAAAACAGGGTGTGGAAATGGAGAGAAGCACATGGACTGCTTGAGACAAATCTAAGAGGAGGTGTGTTCAGTAGTAACAGATCAGGACCCTTGTCCTCATGGAAACTACTTCTGCAATGCTTCAATCGCTCTCACATGGACTCTGCTATGAAGATTAGTGAGAATAGAAAGATAGTTCAATGCTTAAAGATGCTAGTCTGGGAAACGGGAGTTTTGGGGTTTTAGTCCCTATTCTTCCAAGTGCTTCCTAGAAGAAGTAGTTTAGTCTTGCCGTGACTCAGTTACCTCTACATCTGTAAAATGGAGATAAGAGCTCTATGAGTATGGGAAGATGCAGTTGCCTTTGCTGGATCTATCGCCTCCACCCTCCTGAAGGCATACAGTGTGTATGGAGAGAATCCCAGAAAGGAAGTGACGAAGGAACCCCCTGAATTTGACATCCCTATTGCAGGTAAAGGAAAGAATCCCTTTGAGAACCAGCATGAGGAGTGCACCTGTGTGTAGTGCAAATAAATGAGTGCCTGCAGTGCCTGAATAGCCAAGAGAGAATTAATTCTGTCTACCTCACCAGCCTTTCCATTTCCCACAAGCCTGGCCCTACTACTGGATCAAGGTGTTTATTTCCCAATAGGTCCATATCCAGAAATCCACCTCTAGAGGCATCAGCCCTGCTGCATCTATAACTCCTTTTTGGTGTTTTGAAAGTAATACTTTCATTTGCTGTGGTTGTCACATGACAGTTATGTCTTTATCTTGAATAGCCCATGGTTGCTCACTCCATGGGAACAGCAGAGAACATCTAAAGCACAAACAAAAATGGCTAGCTTCTGCTATAGGGCACAACTGAAAATGCAGAAGAAAATAGCTGCTAACCAAAATTAAACAAAAGTAATTCTGAAAAAATACACCTAATCGGGGCAGAAAAGGGGTGGAAGATCTACAGGAAAGGAGATAAACAACAACAACATATTTAGACAAAGGAGGCCTAGAGCATTGAGTGTCCATGACCACACGTTTTATTCCAGGCATCTAAGAGCTCCACAGGGTATTACTGAGCTGGTGAAGCCTGATTAATCCAGGAGAGTGCATAACAACTGCTAGCCTGTGACTGGTCAGTGTCCTTTCCCAACCTTGAGTCTGAGCTCTGAAGATAGATGAGCTGGGACTTCGTTTCTGAGCCACATAGTATGACCCAAATAAGCCACCTGGACGCAGTTTACATTTACAATGAATCTCAAAAAAGCATAGCACCATTGTAGATCGCCAGGCAGTGAAACACTATTGCTCTGGGCAATGGTGTTCCACAAAGAAATGCTCAAGCCACATGAGTAGGACATGTGCCAAGACATTTCCAGGGACAGTGAGCAGAGTTATTGGCCTACAGCTACCACATTCAGTACATGGTCCTTTGCTCTGACAGAGCAAGATAATGATCCCTTCCCCTCCAACTCTGCTGGTACCTTCCCAGTAATACCAGTCTGGACAAAAATTTAGTGTAATGGGCTCATTGGCACACCTGAAAAGGGTAGGCATTATGGTGTTGAGTTCAGCAGCACCAGCCGCATCAAGGTTTTTATATGGCTGAGTAAACATCTTCCAACACAGGTGCTTCTCCACAAATATCAGGATCAGGGTTTGCATCTACTGCTAATGTATTCGGATCTGGACATAGAGTTGCTTGAGGGGTGGTAACATGTGGACTCATAATATTCTTTCCATATTTGCAAGATCACTTCTTGGGTTAAATTTGTTTTACCATCAGCATTGTTTATTAGCGTAGTCAGAGAATCACTTATACACTATATATTGTGTCAATTTTAATCTGGCAGTTAAAAAAAATTCATGGCAATGATGATGCCTTTAAGAAACTTGTAATTCTTGGTAGGCCACACCTGCGAATGGGCTTTTTTCCAGCACCATCAGGTACTGGAATACAGCTATGTGCTGGGAAAGACATCTGGCCATTGAGAGGTTGCAACACTAGAAAGACCAACAATTCAGCCTGACACCCTCCCCAATGCCAGGAACAACAGCACTCAATTCCAACATAACCCATTTACCTTCGCTGGAGGTTCCCAACTATGTACTCAACACAGAAAGCAACAAGAGCGAGGCAGATCAGATGGGGAAGAACTAACATGAAAACTGGAATCGACATTTGTTTTAGACCAGAGGGAGACTGCTGGTCCTTTCTGGGGATCCCTCTTCTGGTGCTTGCAAGCATGTTAGGAACATGGGAGTTATCTTGCATCATGAAGGAAGAGGGAAGGAATAGGTGAAAAGAGAAGCCATGCTCCAAATTTGGGACAGAAAAAAAATGGGGAGGTATTAAGGATGAATACTAAATAGCTGCCTTGGTATCATAGCACAGAAAACTAAGAAAGGGAATGTTCATTCCATATAAGATCTTATTATTTTATTATTATTTCTCTGACTCCTTTTATCAGGGGCATGCTGTGGAGAAGGTTCCCATATGTCTTTAAATAATTGAGGAAACTTCAATATACACTAGCCAGATACAATGGGAAAATTTTAATATTTCCTGTGGACTAAATGGAAAGCAGGTTATTTTGGAGCTTCCTTAAATTTAAGGGTTACATTTTCTCCGTGTACTTCACTGAAATCACACTTCACTCAGGTCTCAGTAACAGACTAGCCAAAGAAGCATGCATAGTTTTGAACAATCGATAATTGAACATCGGATACCTTAGCTGTTTCAGGAATTCAACGTCAGAATTGCTGTTAATGAGCTTGATGAACTCCTCATAAGAAGGAGCATATGTGTAGGCTTTCTTGTGATGCTCATTCACCTGTTCTCTGTATTCCATCTGGCTGAGCAGCATTTGGTTGACATAATCTGGATCACTCAGCAGTTCCACCATTGGCTTCAGTACTGAGAGAAGAAATGTAAAAATATATATATATATATATAATCACTGGGCAAACAAATAGCATCTTCAAACTCAGACACAAGAACAGTGAAACATTTTGGACATAAAACAAAACAGGTTGATAAATTTCCAAGGAATTACTAGTGTATCACTTATTTTAGACTGACATTCTCCTAAACTTTTATTCGTTACTTCAGAGATGGGAAATCTTTTTTGGGTCAGGGCCACTGACCCACAGAAAAATCAGGCAGGGGCTGCACACAAGTGAGAAGTGAAAAAAGAAAAACAAACCCACACTGACGTGGCCCCCCCAATTGAGAAGGAGAAAGACTTTCCTCGCATTCCCCTCACACACCAGAGCCTATGGAGGCCCAGGCTAGTAGATTTTGTGTGCTCCAGCCCCATCATGGTATGTCAGGGAGACTGGAGTGCCATCAAAGGCTCCCCAGTGTTGGGGAGTATATAAGATTCAGGCAAGCCAGGGGCCACATCCGGCCCCCGTGCCTCAGGTTCCTCACCCCTGCATTACTGTAAACCAGCATTTCTTAAACTGTGTTCCGCAGCACACAGTTGGAGATGTGCCACAGAGATATGGTGACCATACGTCCCTTTTTTTCCAAGATAGTCCCGGATTTAAAGACACCCAGTGCTAGAGCAGCACAGCAGCAACTCCCCACCTCCACCCAGCACATAAGCAGCTCCCTTGCTGCTTTACACGGGCAGCCAGGGCCGCTGCCGTTGATGTGCAGTGTCCAGAGCTCCGAGCTCCCATGCAGCACACACCGTTGTCCGGCAAGCCCCTCACCCCACCGCGTGGCCCTTCCCACCTGCTGCGTGATTGCCTGCGCCGTCAGCCCGGCCTCCTCCATCCACAGGTGGTCACCACCACTGCCAGAGGGGGAGGGGCACTGGTTGGAGCCTGGGAGCCACTCCTGGGAGCTGCCGCTGGGGTGCTGTCAGGGACTGCGTGGAGTTCAGCTGGAGCGCTGCAGAGCGGGGTATGTTTGGGCTCTGCCGGTGCGCTCTGTGCATGGCCCTTTCTCTCCCCACACCTTCCCACTCTGCTAGGGGAGTGGCAGTGCACAGATCCACTCGCTCTGCCACGTTCCGCAAGCCAGATCTGGGAGGGTGGGCGCTCCTCCCAATGGGAGCCAAAGTTGGTGTGGGGACTGGAATGTAGCACTAACATTAGCACTGCGGGCGGCCTAGCTCCAGGCCCGGCAAGTAGTCCTGCCTTGGAAGCAGCTGGGGCTAGGACTGCGGGGACTTCTGGGGCCTGACCAGAGACTCCAGCTCTGCAAACTGGAAGGCAAAAGATGGGGGAGGGGCTCAGAGAGAACTAGGGGGAAGGCGGATGGGAGAGGAAGAGGCTTGTGCTGAGGGGAGAGGGGCAGGGGAAGAGAAGAAAGAAGAAGGCACCAAGGGGACAGGGTAGAGGAGAGACAAATGCCAGGGGGCCAAGTGGAGACAATGAGGAAAAGGGCAGGAGGAGGGAGAGGAGGTGTCAGTGGAGGTGGGAGGGGACAGGGTGATGCTGGGAGAGGAGAGGGGAAGGGCACTGGGGACAAGAGGAAGCAAGGGGAGGGAGAGGTGCTGAGAGAAGGCTTGAAAGAAGGGGTGGGCATGAGGAAGGTGGGAATGGAGCAAGTCATGTGTGAGGGCACAGAGGGACATGAGAGGAACTGGGGTAGAGGGTGGTGAGGGGATGAACATCAGGGAGAAAGAGGGCAAGGGGGCAAGGGCAGTGAAGGGAGGAGGAAGCACCAGGAGGGTGCAGAGGTAAGGGAAGGTGCAGGTGCCAGGGGATTCTGGGGGTGAAGCAGAAAGGCAGACACCAAAGGAGAGGGTTTGGTGGGGGCCAAACTCATCTCCTATGGGTAGGAGGATGGTAGGAAAAGTTCATAAAGGGGGTTACTTTTACTTCTGGTCATGTGTCCTTCTTGACCCCAAGAGTTGGGGGTATAGTAAACAGAGGTCAAGGGGTATAGGTATTGTATCCCTAATTTTGGTTCAGAAAATATGGTAACCATATGCGGAGAGAACAGAGTTCAAATGGCCGTTCTTAAAAGGGACAAGCTTTTTTTTTTTTTTTTTTTTTGCTTAACAAAAATCCTTGGTTTTCCAAATTGTTTGGTGTTCCTTGGTCTTAAAAAGTTTACGAAACACTGCTGTAAACTGTCAATGGGATCGAAGAAACTGGAAATTCAGATTATTAAAAAGTACATACATGTTAAAGCAGCTGAACCTAAACTGCAACATTCCAAGTACCTGTTTCTGCTCTTCTTGATGTGCATTGCAGAGAATGTTACACATTAGAGTCTATGAAGAGCAGAATTATGAATAAAAATGAACTATCTGAGGATTACCAGGGACTTTGCAATATCAAAAACTGTCTCCAACTCCAAATTCAAAAATGGACAGAGTGATTAATAATTTCATAATCCAATTAAAAGTGTTCCTTATAAATACAACTAAAATTCTCAGTACATAAATGGATAGCTTTTTTGGGGGCAAAGGGTCAAACTTTGGTCATGTTCACACCATTAGCATAGAATTTTACTTATAAAAGCCCAGGACCAGTCAAATGCTCTCCAGGGAGTCACTCCTATACAGAGGGCTGAAAGTTTGGTTTCCTCTAGGACAAAATAAGAGGATGAAATGCCTGTACGCTGCAAGGAGCTGAGCATTTGCACCCTGGTTCAGACAAGCACTTAAGCATGTGTTTAATTTTGAGCAGGTAAGTAGTCCCATTATGCTTAAATACCTAAAAGCAGTGTCCTGCTAAATCAGTGCCAGAGAGGTCAGTGTCTTAGCCTTAATTAGCTGATGCTATGAATTTTCAAGTGACTCATGTATGTCTAATACAAGGGTGGGGAACTTCAGGCCTGAAGGCTGGATGTGGTCCCCAAGGCTCAGGGAGCCCATGCTGGCACTCCAGCTCCTCCACTGTCCCACCATGGGGCTGGAGCATACAAAATATACTAGGCTGGGCCCCCCATGGCTTTGGTGTGTCAGGAGAATGTGGGGAGTCTTCCTCCTCCTCAGAGAGGGGCAACATTTTTTTTGTCTTTTGGGGCGGGGGGGGGTTGTGGGTCAGCGGCTCCCAACCCAAAAAAGGTTCCCTACCCCTGGTCTAAAAGAAACTAACTATATGTGCAGGTTGTGACAGGAGTTTAATTTTAGAACTTAAAATGTGATATCAATATAAATATATTAAATGGTTTGTCATCATTAGTAATATAGTAGCTTATTAGTTAATTATCTTCTGATCTATAATCTACCTTTTGTTGCAAGTATGTCTGCAAGGACTATGCGCAAGCTGAGAGACTGGGCATCCTTTGAGGGCAGGAGACAATACACCAGAATTTGAGAACATGATTGCAGGAATCTTACTTCTTCGTCAGAGTTCGTTAAGCAAGGGTGGAGTAAAAATGGCCTTGGCTGCTCTTCCTGCCTATTAAAAAGAGTACAAGAATTTCAGCAGAAATTGCAACACATCTTTAGTCACCATTATTCAAAATATCAGCAACATAACAGTATTCAGCAAAGAAAAATTTTAAACAGAAACTATACTTTGTCTATTGTTTACTTTTAATTATTATATTAAGACAAACCTATATTTGCCCCATTTCAATCCATTGCCCTGTCTTTTCTCTATCCCTGTACAAATAGAAATACAATATTTTTAAACCATAGCAATATAGAATAAGCTATTATAGTTCAGAGCAAGCCCCGAGGTGGAAGGTTGAATAAAAAAAATGATTGTTTTCTACTTGCTCCTGTTGACATTCATTTTTTTCCAAAAAATTGAGAAGGCAAAGTATTGAGATGCCAAAAGACCCTTGTATTGCAGACTAACTACAGGTTGTTCCTCCTTTAATTGGGACTCTCTGGTCTGGCAACATCCGTGATTCGGCAAGACCCCAGATGCTCCTGGATCACAGAGTCCAGGTATAAGGAGGTCAGGCCACAGGACTGAGGGGAGGGGTGTGATTCAGCCAGGAACAGGTGGGTGGCAGAGCAGGGAGTTTTGGCTCCTGCTGCCAGGCGGTAGAAGGGGCTGGCAGCAGCCACAGAGCTCTAGCAGCCACATCAGCCATGGAGCCCCGGCAGCTGCAGAGTCCCGGCAGCCTCAACAGCTGTGGAGTCCCAGCCTGGCCCCCACAGAGCTCCAGCCTGGGGAGACACATCTGGGCAGGCAGCAGCAGGTCTCAGATGGAGTCCTAGCTGGGGGCAGCATGGGCTATGCTGGGAAAGACCCCCCTCCTCATTTGGCAAATCCCCCTGTTCAGGACCAGTTAGGTCCAGAGGGTGCCAGCTAAGGGAGGTCCAACCTCTAGTAGGCTTGTACTATAATTGTATGACTATTTAAGCAGGGGACTGAAAATTATTGCTGGATTGAGAAATGGATCAAGCTGTGACAAAAAATGTGGAACAGATGTGATCTTCCTCATCTGTGATCAGCTACTTCACTGTCACTCAGAAAATTGCCAGCCTCTTTGGTCTGACTTTTCCTATGTCTATGCCCTGAGCTTCCCCTCCCCCTTCTTCCCCCTTCCAGCTCCCTCCTCCCAGGTTTCCCCCTCCCCTCTCCCACCCTCTCTCCTCCCACCTCCTTTCCCCAGTCTCACCAGAGTTTCATTCCCTCGCCTCCCATTTTGTTAAATAAAGAGAGTTTGTGTTCATGAAATTATGTGTATTTTATTTGACATCAGGAACGGGGGTTAAGGAGAGGTAAGTGGAAGGACGTGAGGGAGGAATGAGGCACAAGCCTCCAGTGGGGCAGACCAGGGAGGCTCTTACTGCTCCTCAGGGTGGATGCTCTCCTGCAGGGCCTCCTGGATACTGGCAGTCTCCTGATGGACCTCCCGGATGGCAGCCTTCAGGAAGTGCAGCCAGGCTCGCAGCAACATGTTCACAAGAAGCACCAGAGTACCCAGGGGCAGCTCTGTCTCCATGTTGCAGAGTGCTGTGGTGTCCCGAGTGAGGGCAACCAGAGCACGAGCATGCAGAGACACAAATGCTTTGCTGTCCCTCATCGAGGCAGGCAAGCAAGCAGAGACACCTGAGAACCAACTGCCCGGGGGTGGGGGGAAGTGTCCCTTTAAGCACAGGCCTCAGATAGCCTCAGGCAGCAGCCACACAAGTGACTCCTGACCTGATGCCCTGCTAGAACTGATTCCGGCTGGCCTTAAACACGATTCAGTGTGCACTCAGTGTGGATGCGCTATTTCGAAATAGCCAAATGCTATTTCAAAATGCATTTTGTGTGTAGATGTGTTATTTCAAAAATATCTTATTTCAAAATAACTATTTCAAAATTAGATATTTCAAAATAACGCTGTAGTGTAGACATACCCCCTACAGAACAACAAACAAGGAAAGGTCAAGTGAATCCTCCTGACAAAGAACCCCTGAATATCTAGATGACTGACTGAGAATTTTCAACATCAGCAGATGATATTCACCAGTGGAAAAAATAATAAACAAGCAAGAAAGAGGTGTATGAATAATGTGATAGAAAATACTCAAAAATGTTAAATAAGCCAATGGAAAACCCTTATCTGCAAAACTGTAGTTCTAAGTACTTTATCTTAAAATGTTAGCAGAAACAGAATGGACTCGATCGAGAAACAGGGAATGCAAATTAGTCATGGGGAAACTTCCATCTGAGAAGTGAAAGTAGAACATGGTAGAGGTATAACACATTATTGAAAGGTACTGAGAAGGTAAACAGGGATTCCTATTTATCCTCTCTTATAATACCAGAAAGGAGAAACAACATTGAAAGGCAAATTTTAAAATTAACAAAAAGATGAAGGTGCATGGTTCTTCTGTGAAATGCATTGCCACTAGATATCATTGAACCCTAAAGCATAGTACAATTTAAACATGGAAAGACAGAGAACATCCACAATTACAATACACAGGATCATTTCTATTTTAATATGGCATAAATTCTCAAGATTCGTGGTCTAAACCAAAGATTTTACTGATGAGACTTAAGATGAAATTTCCCCTATAGGCAGCTTATTCCATAATCTATATATAGATATATATTTTAGAGATTTGTCTGAGAGTCTGTTCAAGAACTTCTCCTAAAAGGTAAGAGCTAAGGCCACCAAATTTGGCATGCAGCTTCCTCTTACCCTAACCTAAAGCAAGGTCAAGGCTTGGTGGTGCCAGGAAAACAGGATGTGTCTGGAATTTGATTGTTTTCCATAATATGGAAAGGGAGGGGCCTGAGGGACACTATACTCACACTCACCACTGGGGTAGTGAGCACAGGAGACAGCTATACTGCAGAGTGACCACTAGAGGCAGTCATGCCACCAAAGAAGTGGCCAGCTGAGGACTGGACTCCACATCTTGC